TGTGTGTGTGTGTGTGTGTGTGTGTGTGTGTGTGTGTGTGTGTGTGTGTGTGTGTGTGTGTGTGTGTGTGTGTGTGTGTGTGTGTGTGTGTGTCAGTGAGGCCGGCGAGGCACCCTACATCACCTCCGCTGGGTTCCAGTTCCTCCTGCTGGACACCGCCTCTCAGCTGTGGTACTTCACCCTCCAGTACCTGAACACTGCCCAGGTGCCTGTGTGCCCTCTGATACTCTGACCTGATTACCTTTAACTACTTCAACCAGTGGTTATCATCCATGTACCAACAAGGATCACATCTTTCTACCAGACTCTGCTTAATGGCCTTTTATAAGACTGAAGAATTAAGTATTAGAGCAAAGAAATAACAAATGAATTTGAAAGAAATGCAAAGAAAGTGGGCTGAACTGCCATGAAAGTGCATAATGGATAACCACTGGCTGAGGAACATTTCAACAGCTTCAGATCCATTCATCTTAGTCCTTTGTGTAGAGAAAAGGAAACATGCCTAATACGAAAAGCCATGTTTTCAAACCTCACTACTTTCAGGAAAATGAATAGATAAGTAACGTTGTTATTACTTTTTACAACCAAATTGTATTTCTGGCAGTGTGGAGTTTTTGGAACAGCATTTAAACCTGTATGTTAAGGAATGTATTTAACAAAGTAAGTTGTGTGTATCATTTCAGTTTTCTTTGTGAGTGGGGGTTTGAAATACTCTACATTAAGCATTTCAACAAGTTACAAAGTTTGATTTCTTCCAAAAACCTTCAATAAAAATATAAATAATGAAAGATAGAAAGAGCCAGAGATAAAGAGATATTTTGCAAAGTAAGTTATCAGAATACAATTATTAAAGAAAATAAAGGAAAATATGTCCTTTAAGTCAAATATCTGCATGAAGTGTTGGGCTTCAGTGACCGTAGTTTAACAGTATTCAGGGGGAAAGAAGTATAACTGTGAAAATGTACATTAAGTTATTATTTGAGATATACCAGTACTTCCAATCTCTGTCAGTGTTGGTTGTTCAGGGTTTATTTGTCCATGCTGGTTCTGGTCTGCCTCTGTGTGACCCTGTGGTGTGTTGCAGTCCAGAGGCATGGAGCTGGTGGAGATCCTGTCCTTCTTGTTCCAGCTCAGCTTCTCCACTCTGGGCAGAGTGAGTGTTTGATGCTGACACTTTTAATATTCCTGCTGTTCACTGTGAGCTTCCTGTCACTGACGGTGTGTTTCCTGTGTCTCAGGATTACTCGGTGGAGGGCATGAGCGACTCGCTGCTCACCTTCCTGCAGCACCTGAGGGAGTTCGGACTGGTGTTCCAGAGGAAGGTGAGGGAGCATCCACTACCACTACCACTGTGTTCCAGACCCCCCCCCCCCCCCCCCATCATTAATTAACTGGCATTTCCAGACTGAACTGGTCAAATATGAAAGATAGAAAGATTGTATTTGTTTTTCTGGGTAATTATTGGTATATTATACAGTATATAGGCAATATCAGCCTGGACTATGGCAAATGGAACAAGTTGGCCATGGGATAAATATACAGTAATACAACTGAACACATTGATATGTTATATACATTTTAAAGGGATGGAATTCCAAGAGGGGTTTGCGGGTATCTCATTATTTTCCACCATTAGTTAGGAGAGGCTTTGCAGTTAAAATGTAAGAATATGTCGCTTGGTGTGTTTCAGCCAGGACAGGCCTTGAATCCAGGCCTGGTAGAATAAGGTTTATAATCGAGTGGTCGGCATGGATTCTTAGCTTTGGGGGGAACGAATCATAGGTTCAGCTTTCGATTACTTTAATAAAGGCATAAATATATAATTAGATATATTGGCCATTTAGTCACGGCCTTAGTGTATAGTCCTACGGCTGTCCCAGTTTAGTGTACCATCGTAAATTCTTTCTTCTGTGGTGGTTTAGTCAGGAGGAAGTCGCGGCGGTTTACTACCCCCACCAAGACTGGGCCCATCACTTTCTGGCTGCAGGGTCACCCTCACCTCCTCCACCCTTGGCCCGCCTGGGACCGGAGGACGCAGGCTCATCGTTGTAAGAAACCAGATTACCGTCTCCTACCTACACAGCGGTAGTCTGGATCACTGGAAGATGTTTGTGATGCCTGTTAACAAAACAACTACATCTACACAAGCTCCTGTTCATATGAAGGATCACTCCTAAGAAGGCTGAGAGGTGCAGTACATGTTAATACTAGAAGCCGCTGGATGTAGTTCTACATAAGCTACAAAAAACAGTGTGACCGAGCAACACAGTTAGATTAAGTTAAAACGCAGTGACTACAAACTATCAAAGAGATACAACGTATACATTTTTGAAAGAAGGTTCACGTTGCATTGTTATTGAGAATGAGACATCAGATGAACATCACATCTGTAGTGATAT